GTTTGAGCAGCTGCATTACATGTGCCCATATTATGACATTTCCTTCATTGCCTCAGAGTAGTTTTAGAGAGAACTGACAACCTCCTCCTCACATGGATCGATATTAGTTATTCTGTATTAATCATTTTTTATTTCCTGTTTGTAGCGAGCAGGACAGCACTTTACTAACCTTTTGCTATACTTATACTGTGTTATTTTGTGTCTTCAAGTGCTTCTCTGTTTTGTGTTTTGTTGTTCTCTCTGAAAATGTTCGTTCCTAGCTTGCAGTTGCTGCTACTTCTGCCGTGGGTCTCCTTTCTTTCTAGCAAGTGTATCTGTTTAGTTTTTTCCCTAGAACAATAACTTTACGTGTTAATTCAGTGCGTCACGAGATCATTTGACATATCCACTGAATGGGTAGGATATCTTTTCTTTTTCTTTTTTGTAAAAAAATTATTTTGATATTTCTTGTATTTTTTATAGTAAATTTTATTTTTACAATTATATAGAAATTAATTTAACGTGATTAGATCATCTTAGCAGGTCTAAAAAGATAATCTAAATAACAAGTAAAAATATAATTTCACTTAAAATTAATATTTAAGATGAAATTTTTTAATAAAAATTGAGACAACCCTATAGAAAGTGAATTAAAATAAATTATAAAACTCAATTTTCAATAAGCCTAATATTAAATGATGAAATTGAAAAAAAATTAATAAAAAAAGCTCTAATAAAAATAACCCGAGTTAACCCATGTTAACCTATTAAACTTGTGACTCGAGTTATGTAACTAGGATAACATAATAAAAATAAAATTGAAACAAATTATGAAACTTAGTTCTCAATCAATTTAATGTTGAAAAATAAAATTAATTAAAAAACAAAAAAAAAACTCAAGTAAACCAGGATTAACTCGACAGCCCTGTGATTTGAGTTATAAAATGAAGATAACATCATCGATAGCAAACCAAAATAAATCATAAAATTTAATTCCTAGTCAACCTAATGTTAAATGATAAAATTGATAAAAGAAATTAATAAGAAAAAAAAAATCAAGTCAATAGAGTTAATCCATCAAACCTACAGTCTGGATTATGGATATCAGATAAACTTATAAAAAATAAATTAAAAAAATTATGAAGCATAATCTCCAATAAATATAATATTGAAGAATAGAATTGAAATTGAAAAAAAAACACAAATTAGAAAATAAAAAAAATAATATTTAAATGAATAGAGTAATGTTAAAAGTAAAACCCCTTTCTCGTATGGTTTTGTTTTTTTGTTAATAATGTTAATTTTGTTAATGTTAGTAAATTGTTTAGGTATGAAAAAGAATATAAAATTGGTTTCTAGGTGTTAAAAAACATTATCCTTAAAATATTTATTTGTCTCATACAAGTACAATACCTTTAAAATGCAGCTAAACATTCTAAATCTTTAAAAGAATAAGAAAAAAAGATAGAAAAAGAAAATATGTTTGTTTTGTATATTTTTTCTCTATGTAATAACAGGTTCATATAGATTTAAAACATAATGACTTTTAATAAAACTATGTAAGTGTTAAAAATAATAATTATATATTGAATTAAATTAAATATTAGTGTTATCCCAACAATTATAAATATAATAAATAAGTTAAAAAAATTAATTTAATAGATATAATTAGGATTGTCAAACTCATAAGTTGACTTGTAAAATTATACGATTTTATAAGTTAACATATATATATATATATATACTATATGAAACCAGGTAGAAAACTCAAAAACCAATAAACTTGGTCAAAATTGATCAAGCTCGATGAACTCAATAAATTCAGATTAAGTTTATCAAATTTGATAAAATTAACAAAAGCCATTAACATTTTCATTCTTTTGCTTTCATTTTTTCTGGAAACAACTATTATAAATCAATTAAGTCATTCTATAATTTATTTGAAAAGTAATAAAATATATAATTAAATTATGAGTTTACCTTTCTGTCCAATGCGATGGAATTTAAGAAATATAGATTGCGTGCTTTAGTTTTTAGTGTGGTATAAAAGAATGTTAAATCAAAGTGATTTTTATTTAAAAAAAGCACAGTGAAAGAAGGTGGAAGAGTACTGGAAAAAAAAGAAGGTGCTAAAGAGTGCAGCTTTTGTGATAACTGAGAGTTTAGTAGGAATGACAACCAAGTAATGAGCAAAAGCTATGAAAATAACATTAAGTTGTTAGTCTTGACAAAAAAAGCGCATGAGATGAACTAGAATGTGAGAGAGGAGAAGGAAGAAGAAGATTGGTGTTGATGATGATTTGAGAAAAAGAGTGAAAGAGATTGTGATTGTCTAGGTGGCATGTGCAGGAAAGTCATTTATCGTGTCCTTTTTTCTTTTCTTTTTTCTTTTTAAGAATTCAAAATTATTTAAAAAAATAAGATAAAAAAATCAAAAGTTTTTTTCAAATACAAAAATAAATAAACTTGTTAAACTCCATGCCAAGTTAATTTTTCGATAACATTAAAAAATAATAATTATGTAACATCAATGAAGTAAAAAAAATCTAAAACTATGGTCAATGGAAAGGGCTATTTATATTGCTAAAAACAATCAAAATAACAAATTAAAAAATAATATAAAATAAGTATCTTGTATTTATATTTAATATAATTCAAAAATAAAAATCCTTATAAAAAACTAAATTCAACAAGGATAAAAAATAAATATAATACCACATGGATGAATTCCTAGGATAAGATAATATTAGTATTGATACTAATAGCAACACCAATATTTATAATATTAATGTTAGTATATTGATGAATTCTAAGGAACAATAAGAAAGATGAAGGCAATCACGTAAGTTTTAATTTACATGACACATTAACATATTATTTGTTTTAAGTTAGTTAATGAAAAATTATTTAAATTATATATGAATTTTTATTTAACTATATATTTAAAAATACTTTAAATATGTATGAATTTTTATTTAAACTATGTACTTAAAGGTGCTTGAACTATTTATATAAAAAAATTTCTTATGATTTTACGATTAGTTTTTACAATCCAAGTTTATTTTATATTATCCATGCTGTATTAAAAATATAGTTTTAACAAACTTTGATATAATTATAATATCAAAAGTGTCAAATATTTTATTTTGATATTATAAATACTTATATAATAGAATTAAAAAGCAGATTCAAAGAGTTCATGTTATTTTTTTCATTTAATTTACGTAAAAAAAATATAATTATAAACACTTAAAAAATAATTTTTTTTTCAACGTTGAACAATTTTTTATTTTTGATTTACAAACCAAACAAAGAAATTATTAATTAATGACTCGGATCACACTGCTGAGGCGGCAGTGACGACTAGTCAATTGTCAAGAAGGTTGGTTTAAGTAATTCGAACGGCAGCCTATCTTGAAAGCCCTCCAACTCTTAACTAAAGCTAATGAACAAAGGTTCCCACTTGCGGCCACAGCAATAACAAGTCTTTAGGTCCACGCGGTGGCTGGAAATAAACATTTCATTACCATGCAAATTAACGTCACAGGCAGGCTTATACATGCCCTTTTTAACAAAAGAAATTCTGCAATTTTCCTAACCCCCGAGCATTGCAGCTCTACAATTTCAACTTCCTTCATGGGAAAGCTTCCTGTTCCTTCTCTTCCTTTTGTTTTCTCAACTTTCTTCACACTAATAATCCCTTCTGCGAGTGGATTATCTTTCAACTTCACCAGCTTCATTGTTGGCGCCGATCAGAACATCTCATGCGAGGAAGCATATCCTGCAGATGGAGCTATTCAGCTCACCAAAAATCTAAGAAATGCTAAAATGAATTCAAGTCTCGGTTGAGCCACGCATTACAAACCGATGCAGCTTTGGGACGAAGAATTAATATGAAAAGATAAAAATAAAAAATAAAATTAATAAAAAAAATAGAAAAAAATAATTAGAGTCAACCCAAGTTAATCTGATAAATCTGTAACTCAGATTATGAGATTAAAATAATACAATAAAAATAAAATCAAGATAAATTATAAAACTTAATTTCTAATCAATCTATTATTAAAAAATAAAATTAAAAAAATATAAAAAACAACTCAAGTAAATCAGGATTAACTCGATAAACCTCTGACACAAGTCATAAGATGGAGATAATCTCATCAGAAGCAAATTGAAACAAATTACAAAATTTAATTATCAATAAATCTATTGTTAAATGATGAAATTGACAAAAAAAAGTTAATTAGAAAAAAAAGAAAAAAAAGTCAAGATAATAGAGTTAACTCGTCAAACTTGTGGTTCGGATAAGAATCTAGGATACCTTATAAAAAATGAATTGAAAAAAATTATGAAACACAATTTCTAATAACATTAAATGATATAATTGAAATGGAAAAGAAAAACACAAATTAGAAAGGAAAAAAGAAAAAAAATATTATTGTAATGAATAGAGTACTGTAAAGAGATGTAAAATAAAACCCCCTTTTCCTTTAGTTTTTATTTTTTGGTTAATATTAGTAAACTATTTCAGGTGTTAAAAACATTGTTTTCATAGTGTTTATATATCTTACATATATACAATATTTTCAAGATACAACAAAATCTTTTAAACTTATGAAAGAATAAGAAAAAAAAATGAAAAAAAAATATTTGTTTTGAATATATTTTTCTGTGAGTAGCAACATGTTTATATTGATTTAAAATATTATAATTGTTAATAAAGCAACATGATTGTTAAAAAAATAATTATATCTTGAATTAAATTAAACAACTGTTTATTTAGTTTTATCATATTAAAATTAAATATAAAAATTAAAAGAGATAAGATAAAAAAAATAATTTAATTAGAATTTCAAAAGTGTAAAGTATCTTATTTTAATATTATAAATATTTATATAATAATATTAAAAAGTTCACTAGAAAAGAAATTATTAATTAATGACTTGGTTCTTAAAAAAAAATACTAATTTCTAATAAAAAATATCAAATGTTTTTAAAAATATTTTTAGATTGAAAATAAACATTTCATTACCATGCAAATTAACGCCACAGACACGCTTATACCTGCCCATATTAACTGAAGAAATTCTTCAATTTTCCTAACCCCCAAGCATTGTAGCACTACAATTTCAATTTCCTTCATGGAAAAGCTTCTTGTTCCATTTCTTCCTTTCGTTTTCTCAACTCTATTCACACTAATAATCCCTTCTGCGAGTGGATTATCTTTCAACTTCACCAGCTTCATTGTTGGCGCCGATCAAAACATCTCATACGAGGAAGCATATCCTGCAGATGGAGCCATTCAGCTCACCAAAAATCTAAGAAATGCTAATATGACTTCAAGTTCCGGTCGAGCCACGTATTACAAACCGATGCAGCTTTGGGACAAGGCCTCGGGGAATCTTACAGACTTCACTACCCATTTCTCTTTTTCCATCGATTCGCGAGGTCAGCGTGCATACGGAGATGGATTGGCTTTCTTTCTTGCGCCGGAAGGATCAAAGCTTCCGCTTAATCTCTCTGAGGGTGCAGGTCTAGGTCTTACAAGGCGTGATCAGCTACTAAACACAACGGCTAATCATTTTGTTGCTGTGGAGTTCGATATCTACTCAAATTATTTTGATCCACCAGGCGAGCATGTAGGTATTGACATCAACTCTATGCAATCTGTAAATAATATTACTTGGCTTTGTGATATTAGTGGAGGGAGAATAACTGAAGCTTGGATTAGTTATAATTCAAGTACACATAATCTGAGTGTCGCCTTCACTGGTTATAGAAATAACACTGTAGAACTGCAATTCCTTAGTCAAATAGTTAGTTTGAGGGATTACCTACCAGAAAGAGTTAGTTTTGGCTTTTCGGCTTCAACAGGAAGTGCATCTGCCCTGCATACCCTTTACTCGTGGGATTTTAGTTCAAGCTTAGAAATTGATGATAATGTTACCCATCCAATAGATCCAGCTACCAATCCACTAGATCCAGCTGCAGCTTCTCCGCCAAATGGTGGTTCTCTTAGGAATCGGAAAAAGAACAGGACAGGACTGGCAGTTGGATTGGGTGTTGGAGGTGGTGCTATAGTTGTTGGGGCCGCTTTGGTTGGGATTGTTATTAAGTTTATGCGTGGGCACAAAGAAGATGAAGGAGATGGTCATGTCCTTGAACAGTACATGGATGATGAATTTGAAAGGGGAACAGGACCAAAGAAGTTCTCTTACCAAGAATTGGCTCGAGCTACAAATAACTTCAAGGATGAAGAGAAGCTAGGTGAGGGTGGGTTCGGTGGTGTCTATAAAGGTTTTTTGAAGGAGATTGATTCATTCGTTGCAGTGAAGAGAGTATCAAGAGGTTCTAAACAAGGGATTAAAGAATATGCAGCAGAGGTAAAGATCATTAG